ATATATATATATATATAATAAAAGGGGGCAAATAAAGCGAATCTTCAGGTAGCTTTTTAGTGTACAAGTTTTGTTATAATATTAAAACGACATAAGCTATATTTAGCTATTATAAAATGAATGTTACAATTTTAGTAACTATTTTATAATTAAATACAATATCACGATTGTTTGTTTCTATTTGTGTTCTATGTTGTAATTTCCATGCAAGCATGGTTCCTTACTCGATATTTATAACAGGGTAGTGTTTAATCTACAATCTACACGAGGGTTTAGCACGTAACCTCTTTTACACAAGGGGAGAACAACAAGGCAGTGCATAGCAGCATAGGATAGTACCGATTTGGTTGTATAGTACAGTTTGAACGTCGAAACAGAACAGTACTGGAGTATGTATACGTTGAAACAATGCTCTACTGTCTGCTGCTCTGCGTCACAGTTCTGACCCCGTGTGAAACTAGCATTGGTCACGCACCTGTGTAGTCGTGTAAGCGTCTCCGTTGCGGTACCTCGTCACCTGCCGCTTGCGCCGCACGTAATGGTAGCAAATCGCTTTCCACCTGTGTATATGAAAGCAATTTAATATTCAGCTATATAAGTACGAGTCGGGAATATCCTATACGACATACGGTTATTGGTAAAATTGTTAATTTTTATTTTGAATCAAATATATTAACATTAATGTCGAAGTTAAAGAGAATGTTTCTAGTCGCGTCATAAAATATTAAAATTGATTTTAATTAATGTTCCATACCATACTCTAGGCGTTGCATTCCTCATAGCGTGCACTCTCGTGCTGACTGCGGCGACATCCACACGTCTCGCCAGCTGTATCCTAGCTGTACTGTGGTAGCACTCCACTAGATACACTAAATAAAGCAGTAGAACGAACGCTATCGGTATATACGCGTAGCCAACGTCGCATGGCGACTCACGAACTGTTCGCTTTATTGGAAATCTGAAACAAAACGTTTTTGAGTGGAAAAATTGAATTTTTGCTCTAAGAGTCTATGTACATTTTTAATTGTGCTTATCCAGCCATCATATCTACATTGTTTGCTGTTTCCAGTTAGTTACCAAGGGTTATTTTTATTGTTACAAATACTGATTTCGACGATAAAAATGAGAAACAAGTTAACGCAAAAACACTAATAGTTTGCTGGCCTTAGTTTATATAATTAGCAAAGATTGTACAATTAACTTTATGACGTCATGAATTTTAATTTGAAGGATTCTTTATAAGAATAAAATGCTCAAATAAATCAAAATAACGTATGCTTTTACGCGTTAGACCAAAGCGGCATAATAAATAAACGCCATCCATTTGCAAACGGAGAAATGTACGTCATAAAATATTAAAGGTTGTTTACGAAGTTTGTTTCGAGTGTAGCCGTGGGAGGATCCTGAAAGGCGCGATCTAAAATTAGCCTCACTTAAAATTAATTTTAACAGATGATATTTGGATTCTAGTTTTTTATTTCAATATTTATTACATAGAATTGACCTTTTTCGTGTAACAGAGTATACGTACACAAAAAGTACAAAAAAACACAACAGTATTGAATTAGACAAAGAAAAATTATACAAAGAGACTACACAACAATTTCATTTTCTTCTAGAGTTTTTAATTTAATTTCTAATAACCTAACTCGTATTTTGAACTATTGAAAATTAGTCTGTTAAAATCTCGTGAAACAAAGTGATGACAAAATTTAATAATAGCAAAGACATATAGAACAAAAGAGGTCTAACTAAATATGACAATTATCTTTGAGCATCAGGATTATTCTATGATTAGGCGTTCACTGGCCACTTTAGACACATAATATTGACATCGTATCACTCACGTATTAAGATCGATGAGTTCACGGTCTATCTCGGCGGTGTTGCACCAAGCAACGGAACTGAGGCAGCCCGCGATCATTAATGTCAGCAGGAAGCACTTCCAGTTACCCTCCCGCCGTAGCACCCCGCCCAGGCTCTGCTGACGAGGACGCTGCCAAATAATATCACCATTTGAAAGTAGAAAAAAAATCAACTGAATGTTCTATTGCCATTTTCGGTCGTAGTAGACATTTTAATTGCTACGCCGTAGCAACGTTACTGTATGGACTATGAGTTCCACTACTGAAATGTATTGTGAATAAGTGGCTAGACAATTTTGTAACAAATGTTTCGGTAGTGAAAAGTCACTACGTTGGTATGGCGTAGCAATTTAAATACTATAAAAGTACCATGCGGTTGCGAAATATGTTGAGTACATGTTTTAATGTTTCGCTTGTATAAATAAAAACTTAATTAATCAGAAACAATTTTTTTACATAAACTAATCGAGGCGTTTGTATTAATTTTTCAGATAAAGAAGTGTTGAATTTGTAAGCTTTGTAAATGTTGATTTAAAACAATAAATGTATACAAAAATCGTACATAGCTTAACATACTGTAGCAAGGCTGACAGAATCACTCTCTCGTTATTGATTTCCCGCATATTCTTTGTTTCATGTAACCAGACACAATGGAATTCGATATAAGCACCTATTTTTTATCAAGTACACTCTGTATATTTTATTTTGTCTTGTCATATTATTACAACTTTGGATATAACAAAGATAGCAATACTTGTTCAGAAACTTTAGGTTATAATTGAGGTAAATAATTTACAGTTACTCAAATTAGTTATTCTTATGTTTTAATTTTCCATTCACTTATAATTCACAGTTTGTAAAGTATTGAATGACAAATTAAAGCCGTTCAACGCGGATCGATTTAATTCTAATTTTGATAACACATTTGTTTTCGCTATTAAGTCAAATTTTCAACTAATTACGTTACGACACAGTAGTCTAGCGTAGATCTTGATTTGCTTTCCTAAAAACAACTTGAAATATTCCGTACGAACTAAATAAACTAAATAGCTAAACTAAATAAATCCGTACGAAAAATATAGTTTCTAAGTGTTGCCTTGTGTAACAACTAAGTATTTGACCTTAGTTGACTTCTTCATTTATAAATATCATTCTTTTAGTAGTTTATTAATCATCAAACTTTGTTTTACTATTTGGAAACAGTTTACAGTTAAACAAAACAAATATAGATAGGTTATAAAATATGCAAGTTAAGTAGCTAAGCTCTACAGGTGTGGATCAATAATGACGCAATACAATTCTATTTTGAACCGACGTTGTTTACTATTTGTGAAAATGAAGTCTAACTTTAAAGGTGCATATTGTCGGATGTTTCGCAGTGTTATGTAACACGTTACACGACGAACATCTAATTCGCTTGTTTCGAATGTTATATAACACCGAATGCCGTCTGTGCATACGCATTTTAAAACAAATCAGTGATTGACCATTACTCGTTTACCACTTGTTGTTACATACTTATAACAACAAGTGGTAAACGAGCAAGCGGCCGCCTGAATCCTGAATGGCAAAGCGACCCATAGACATCCGCAATTGCAGATGCGTTGCCTACCCTTATTCGACAGAGGAGGAGACGCACATAAAGAGGATGTTTGCCCTTCCTATGCATCTCCTCCGTCAAATCCACATCCCCTTCCCATCCTCTCCTTAAAAGAAGAAGGTGGTAAAGAGAAAGGGACTTAAATTAGGCCTCCGGAACCACACTCATCATATGAAACACGGAATTGCTTCCATTTCACGCCTGTCTTCTGTGTGGTCGTGGTATTACACCGGGCGTGCCGGCCCATTCATGCTAAGATGTTAAAGCGGGCACTACCACTGTTAATCAAATATTTAAAACACATCTTAAGCATTAACAAAAATAAGTTCTCATCTATAATTCATAAAAAATAAAGCTTTAGGTTCTAGCGTAAATAATTCATTAGCTAACAAAGTTTACAGACAGTAATCTAAAGTTTAATATCAAAGACTCATAGTTAATCAACTTTGAGGGTCTATCTTTCATTATATTAATAACATTAAGATTAAAATGTAATTTAAATAATTTTAATAAGGTGTCCAATTGCGAAGTCAGTCAGTCGAAATATTGCAATAGGAATAAATCTATACTAATATTAAAAGTGGAAAGATTTGTATTTTTGTATGCATTTGATTCACGCAAAAACTATTGGGCCGATGTTAAAAATTATTTTACCATTAGAAAGGTAATTGATCTGTGAGTAACATGGGTCATATTTTTTTTATTTCACGCGGGCGAAGTCGCGAGAATAAGCTAGTATAGAGTACAAACGTAATATAATTTGGTACAAAACGTTTTTCACAAACTAGCATTTCACTGTGACTAGTTTCTCAGTAAAGCTCGACATGGGTATTGAATTTTCAATTTAATTTATATTCACACTGAACGTCATCGTAAAATTAAATTATTTACTTGATGACTTCGCCCGCGTGAAATTAAAAATATAGCCAATGTTACGCACAGATAAATTACCATTCTAACGGTGAAAGGATTTTTAAAATCGGCCTAGTAGTTTTTAAGTTCAATACATACAAAAATACAAATCTTTCCTCATTATAATATTAGTAAACATGCCTCTTGGATCTAATATTTTGATAAGCCAATGATATAAGAAAGTTCGTTTTTAATACGGATAGAGACAGTTACAAAGTTGCAAGTTCTGAGGGTCCATCAAGAATATTTTCATAACGTCATCGACTTTGTATGAAAGTTTATAAGCTCGTTGTAGTTAAAAAATGTCAACATGACATTAACATTATAGCGCAAGTAACATAGTTTCCGATGTCGGAACGCCCGCGGCGCTCCAATAGCGACAGGTCAAGGCTCGCTTCATACCATGTCATGGTTTGCAACTGGCTTTGATGTTAAAGGATATGCCTTTATTAAAAATGACTCTGCAGTCGCTAGCAGTTTTAACTTTGACAAGCATGTGTTCAAAAAGTGATATTTTAAACACTAACTTTGTTAGCTTTTCGTTCGTTGTGCTATTCATACATTGGAGTTCGAATTCATTTAATCATCCTAATATTATAAATGCGAAAGTTTATATGGATGGATGGAGGTTTGTTAGAGTTTTTAGTCTAAAGGACTGAATAGATTTCGATGAAATTTGGTACAGATATAGAGGATAATATGGAAGAACACATAGGCTACTTGCATTTGTTTTTTTTTTAATTCCGTGCGGACGGAGTCACGGCGAAAGCTAGTTTTATATAAAATCATCATTTGTTTCCCTACTTGGGTTTGATACAATAGATTTTATCTTACAAAACATTCATTTATTAATTTAGTCATTAAATTCTTTATTTCACATTTGACGCAACATATTTTATAAAAAAAAAACAGTCATGTTTTGTATGTCTTATTAATTTCCAAAGCTGACTACGATCTACGATTTTTGTTCAGGGAATGATTACTTAACATCTGTTAATAAGACACTTCAGATGAATAAATTAATTTCTACTATTGACCTTTGATGGTTTGAATTCGTTACATTTATTCTATGATGCATTGCGTTTCTCTGCAATATGCTAAATAAAACAGTCTATTTGAAAGTCAAGGCGCGCGGTTGGAAGCAAATTTATGGTTAAGGCGGTTCAGAGAAAGGCGCTGGCCTTCTCCTTGTAACTTATAATATTATTTACAAGAAAACTATTTGTATGAAATGGTCAGGGCTTTTGTTACTCTGTTTTTATAATTTGCAACAATTAGTATAATAAATAACTAAAAATTAGCTATAAATATGCATCTATATAGTTGTACTTTTGTTATCATGTTAGATAGAAGAAAAACTTTCACGTAAACATTAAAAGGAAAAGCTCATAAAAAGGAGCTTTATGTGTCACATAATATCGTCATTGTGACATTCTCTTCAACCAAAAGGAGTATATTGATAGATGTCAATATAAATAAAAACCCTCTTGTCTTCTTGTCAATTAGATGAAGAGCAACATTTGTATTGTATTTTCTTTTGTTTTTGTCTATGTCATAGATGTTACATGTGTATAACAAGTTGTTATAATTATATGAGAATTCCTAACTCAATGTTTGTTTTAAACATAATCATTAAACTTAACTCTTACATTTAAAGTAGACTTAAATTACGAAGTTCGTCTTCTAATCAAGTTCCTTAAGTTGTTCTTTAGCTTGTTTTACGTTGTCCTTTGTAGTTTTCATTTATAATAAATAAAAGAAAATGAATTCTTGTTTAAAATTAACAAGGCAACGCATCTGCAATTGTGAATGTCTGTGGGTAGTGGTTGCTTCGCTATTTGGGTGAATTCAGGCCGCTATCTCGTTTGCCACCATATGATATAAAAAATATTACTGGGCAATCTTTCTATAAACCGCAAAGCAAAAATTGCATACTAGAAATAAAACCTACTGAGTAGGCATTTAACTAATTCATTAGTAGATATAAATGTTAAGTTCCATAACAAGCAAACAACACACAGATAGCATCTTTATTTACCCCAGGAATAGATGAACAGATAAAAGCATGTACACGTTAGTAACGAGTTCCCACTAATAACAATTATCTTTAATAAATCGTATACTGGGAGTTGGCTTCCCTTAGCTACGTTCGTTTTAAGAGAACACGTTAATATTGTATGGGGTCGGAACAGTTCAGCATACGTAATATAGTGTACGTTGGGGAATAGTTATAAACTAATATAGTTATATACGGTGTTCCGTACGTGAACACAATGAGGACTCGGTTGCTGGAAGCGAAACTAATCTAATGCGCTCCAAAGATCATTCGATTACTAACAGGTAATCGATTTTTCAAATGCTTTGTTCTATTTTAGACTCAATATCAATGTTGTTGAGTTAAGAATTATAATGGCTTAAAAGTAAAATATTGATTTACAAATTATAAACAATTTTATAATATTTGCTAACACAATTTTTATAGCAAAATATTTCTTACTAAGCGTGTACTATGAACGCGAACCCTCGGCCTGAGATATTATTACAAAACGTATTTTAAAATAATAAATCTTAACATCTCATTGAAATGTATAGAAAACGGTCACTCTCACATTAAAATGTAGCTTAATGTCTTGGAAATAGAGTTCAATTTACAATGCTCGATATGGTTTAACAAAAGGGTCATGTTTTTCCTTTCCATGCGGTTCTATAAAAAGTCCTCCCGAATAAAAAGGTATTATTACTATACGCCTTTCTGTTTTCGCGTTGTTTTCCCTAAGACAAAGAGAGAATCAATTATGCGCTTAAAATACTGGCTTGACAATACAATTTCTATAAGTCATCTTTTTTTAAAAGATATTATAAAGGTAAAAAGAAATGCAATAGTATTCAATTCATTAACAACGTGACTCTCATCTCGAATACTGCAGATGTACTTTTACATAACGGAATTTGGACCGATTCCAAGAACTCTTGAATTATATAATAATAAAGTTTATTATATAACAAAGTTTAACACCTGAAACGGGATACAACAATTCTAAGCACATAATTAGCTTAATATCAAAAAACTTGACACAAAATTAAAGTCTGAAAAGTGTAATACTAGCTTAATGAAAGTTAACTTAAACTTGTACTATTTCTACATTCAAAATAACTTAAACTACTTTAGTTTAACTTATTGATACTTTAAAAAAAATTAATAAAGCTCTGAAAACAAAACTTTCATTTCTAATTAAATAAAAGTTTAATAATTTTTAGTATTTCTGTAATTTCTTGAGTAAGTATTAAAATGTAGAAGTTTGAAAAATGCTTAAAAAATACGATACCTACCAAATCCTCATCATCGTCAGAAAAAATGTTTTCTCGATCCTGCGTCGTCATACCTCCTTATTGTGCACACACAAAAAACATTTCTTCATGGCTCACGCACACAATACACAACCCTCCATCACTAAACACTTTAACTGCATCCAAAGTTCCCCTTTACCTCACTGTATTCCAAAACTCATTGTTAACTTAGAATTGTCAACTGTTAACTGTCTAAACGATCAATATTACGAAATTATTAAAATTTAAAAAATGATAAAGAAGTTATCTATATTCGAAATTAAATTGGAATGTTTACGAAGCCGCTTTTCGATGTCGATGAAGCGAGCTTTCGGGGCGGAATGAGGGTGCTTACTGCGGGACCGAAGGGCGGGCGGAGTGCTGCAGCGTCCCGTTGTCATGGTAACACGGTACGTCGCTGCGGAGGGAAGCTTTTCTAATTCTATTTTGTTGGACGTAATTTTGAGAATACACATTTATAATATGCCAAAACCTTCGCTTTGTTTTAGTACATTTTTTCAGATTTGGACACATTATATCGTATTATATTTCATGTCTATTATCTATCCGATTTATTCTAAGAAACATTTAAAGTATATAAGAAAAAAAATGTTATTTAAATTAACCATTACACTATGTAATTTTAATAAAAAAAAAGAAAAGGTTTTTTTTTCGGGTTCGTTCCATTGTTAGTAAAAATCTGTACTACCATAAAAACGAACAGAATGCAAATCGGGGGAAAGGTGAATTTTATTTCGTTGGCCGCTACGGAGGTGATTTATGTTGGTACGTGCCGCTCGTAAGTAATTACATATACACGAAGGAGCTGAAATATTAGGGTTGGCATTCAAATTAAATTTACGTCCGAGATTTGATCGTAAATCGTTATAGTCTTGGACTTAAGTGTACTAGGCTTCTTATAAAACTCACGATTAAATACAATAAAAATTAAATATTTCAAAGAAAAAGATAGCAGGAGACCTCTGTTTTTATTTTAATGAGTATAGAAATTGTGTAATCATTTGAAACGATATACTTACGGTACCAAAAAATAATTCTAACAATTTGTTCCGTAAATCTCTACAGACTAGTATTGTTATATTTATTTTGTCACAGAATGAGCGGGATGGCAGTATTGTTTTAATACATTTGTTAATAAAATGCAGACATGTAAAGGAAAATTTAAACAAAACTCTTTGTCGTGTGCCTGTGAGTTGATTCCATAGCTTCCCGAATACGGAAGGGAACGTCTGCGTGTATTCCCCGGGGTCTCTTGTTAATCGGATTTTACGACTTCCAAAGAAAATAGGGTCGCAGCCATTTGACAAAAATAAAAGGTGGTATTCGGTTAAAAATCTATGTCCTATAAAAAAATCAATTCCTATTAAGGAACCTAAGTTATTAAACTAGATTCGTAAATTGTTTTTTAAAGCAAGCAAAAAAAAAGCATTATCGTAAAAAAAATGTAACACAGTAAAAAATAGACATTAGTGATCAAAATATATTGAATTAAAATAAAATTTCTTACACAGACTGAATTTATGTTATGGTTCAATTTGGATCTAACCTATTGCGATATTTCAATTTAGCAAATTAGTTTGTCATCACTTTTTTTATAAAACATATAAAAATTGCAATTAATGAAATAAAATAACCACCATATAAATATAAATTTAGGTGTATTTAAGCTTCGTTTTTAATCAAAAATTAATTAATAGTGCAATTTATGTTCCAATGCTGGCACGTCGCAATGATATCCATTGAGGTCGTGTCAACCGCACTCCGCCTATCAATGATCATGAACACATTACAACATGCACTTATAAACAATATTGTCAGAACCTAATTAAATGGGTTTATTTGGAGGAAAACTATCTATTAAAATAGTAAAATACCAAGCTATATTTACAATTCATTGTAACCTTTATTTACTAATCTATATCTATACGAATATTGTAAAGAGGACATATTTGTATTTTCGGATTTTTGTTTGTATTGAAATAACTCGATCACTACTAAGTCGATTTAAAAAAATCTTTCTTCATATAAAAGCTACGTATAATTTGTATGTATTGAAATAACACAAAAACTACTGAGCCGATTTCAAAAAGTTAACCGTTAAGAAGCTACGATATCAGTGAGTAAGGTAGGCTTTTTTACTATTTTTTTTTAAATTTCACGCTGAAAAAGTCGCGAGCAACAGCTATACTTTCCATGATAATAGTATAACATAACGCTTTTTTTACAATTCGTTATAACTCATATGTACTATTATACAAAGCGTAAACACACACTTCTTTGTTGCCTAAGATGTCAAA